CCTTAATGATTCTATGATTCTATAAAGTGGTGGAAGTAGGGGATGGGGTTGGTGTGGCAGGGGTGGTACAAGGGATAGTAATACCTACTGAGGAATGGGCAAAACAGGAAGAGGAAGGGTGTGAAATTCTACCACAGAGGAGGGTTAGTCATAGCTCTGTGTACTGACAGCCCTGGTGTCTGTTTTTTCCCTTGCTCCCGAGAGAGGATCAGGAGAAGCAAAAGCAGGAAACTCTGGATGTGGAAGAGAGGGAGAAGAGGGGTGAGTAAAAGAGCTTGAAGAAGGACTTGGATGCAGTCAGCCAGGCTCAGTCAGGCTAAGTGCTGTCTTTTCTTCCATCCTCAGGCATTTGAATGCTAGCGTAGATGCAGACTGACTCGAATGGCTCAGCAAGTCTTCTCACTGTTTCTTTTCTCCCTCTTTGATGCATGTGTAATCTTGCAAAATCTCACTGCGTACATCTCTGGGATGGGAACTCAAAGAGCACGGTGGCTGGAGAAGCTGAGAGCAGTGGTGCCTGAATACGTGACAAGCCTGTGGACATGCAGATCCCTGTTCGGTGTGGCAGGAGTGTCTACACCAAATGTGGTTCAACTCCACCAGCCCAACTTCAAACAACATTTTTCTGAAGGGGACAAGGAGAGAGGGGGGGAAATGGAAACTGGAAACAGACTATTCGGCTTGGGCAAGTCTTTCCCTGAAAAACACAAGTCCAAATGGTTTGTGGCTGAATGCTATAGACTGCAGTGCAGAGTCCCGTGTTCTTGCTGGTCCTCTATTCTTATGTGTGGACACACAGCCTCTTGCAGGGCTCTGTCCTGGAGTCTTTGCTTGAAGTGACCCAAGTGGTTCTCTGCTGTGACACATGGGAGAGCAGATCATTCTGAGGGCCTGAGTGCTTTGCATTCCTGACAATCCAGAGATCAGAGGCGGGAGGGGGGAAAGGCCAAAGATCAAAAGACCAAATCACCAACTAATACCCATTGCTTCTCTTTGGGGCTGAAGAAAGTAGAAAGATTCACTGGAGATAATTCTGGGATAAGATGTGTGATCGAAAGGAGGGTTGATGGAGGTGTTTACCTGCTTCTTTTCTCCAGAGCCTCACCCCAGTAGGCTGGACCTGTTCTGCTGCTGCGATCCACAGTGCACTCAACTTTCCCCAGCTCCCTGCTGCTCTCCCAGCAAGCCCCAAGTTTCTGCTGGCTCCTGAAGCACTCGCTGTAGGCCAGCTTCCCCAGCTGATGCTCTGGTTCCCCTGACGCATGTGCGGGGTGCAAGTGGCCCAGGTCTGCGAGGAATGGGCGCTTCTGGGGAACTGTCCTGTCTTCTCAGAGAATGTATAGTGTCTCTCCACTTCCTTATCCAGGCTGGGGGTTGGTGTCTAAGGCCTTCTTGTCCAAAGCTTGCTCATGCCTATCGGTACTTCCTTCTTAACAGGTCCTTTGCCTTTTGAGGGTATTGCTGTCACGATGGATTCCCACCAGATGAATGGAACCCAGAGGGTTGTGTTTGACAGAGTGCTGACGGAGTCTGAGTGTAAGGACCTTCTCCGTCTGACAAAGGTGAGGCCTGGGTCTTGTAGGAGCTCCTGTATATGTACTTTCCTACTCAGCAGGCAGGGTTGTAGTGTTTCCATGGAGGAGAGATGGCAGCCTAATGTGTCATCTGTATTCTTCCCTGCCAGGCAGCAGGAGAAGCAGGAGATGGCTACCGGGCAAGACGGTCGCCTCACACCCCGCATGAGAGATTTGAAGGGTTAACCATTTTGAAGGCCATGCAGGTAAGTGGCTCTGTGGGTCTGTCACCTTCTTGATTGTCTGGAAAGAGGGTTTGTAACCCAAGCGTTTTTCTCTGTGAAGTGCACTCTGGATGGGGTTACGGGTGTGTTATCTTCCTCACAAGCACACGTGCGGTCTCCCCTGACCCTCTTCCTCCACGATCACGTTTAGGCACGTTGTACATAAATGCTTGATAAATGCTTTCTCTCCTGTGAGACAGAGTTTCGAGATTGCTACTTGTCCCTCTGCGGCAGTCTTACAGACATGCTTAGCTTAGCATTGGAGAATAAATTAAGGTGGAAAGAGCCTCCGGAGATCTCTAGTCCGACCCCCTGCTCACAGCATGGCTAATTCCAAAGCTAGATGAGATCCCGCAAGGCTTTGCGCAGGCAAGTCCTGAACATCTCCAAGGGTGGAGATTCCCCAGTCTCTCTGGGCACCTGTTTCACTCTTGGGAGGATGAAATATTTCTTTATATCTGGCCAAAATTTCCCTTGCTGCAGCTTTTGCCTGTTGCCTGTTGTCTTTTCAGTGTGTCCCTCTGAGAAGAGACTGTATCGATCTTCTCTATAACCCCCTTTTAGGTGACAGGAGGCTCCCCTTTTAGGTGACAGGAGGCTGTAGTTAGATCCTCCTTTGGCCTTCTTTTCTCTAGGCTGAAGAAACCCAGCTCTTTCAGCCCCTTTTTCTAAGTGATGTGCTCCAACACCCCTGCCATCCTAAGACCCTTCACTGAAGACTCACTCCAGTTTGCTAGTGTCCCTTGTGTACTGGGGGACCCAAAATGATGCTGCATTCCAGATGTGGCTTCATGTGCTGAGTAGAAGGAATGAATTGCTGTGCTGTACAGGTGTACACCTGACTTATATTTACGTGAGAAAACATGTTATTTTCTTACATGTGTGACCACAGGACTTTACACAGGTCTTCTGTACTGTATATGTGTATCACTTTTTAGAGTGTCTTTGTATATAAGTATTCTAACAGGCTTGTTTTTCACTTGTAGCTGGCCCAGAATGGGGACGTGGACTGGAGAGATGCCAAATTGCTTTTGCAGGCCAGTGAGAAATCGCGGAAAATCATAGAGTCCTATTTTACTCCTGGAAAGAAACTCCATTTCTCATTCACACACCTTGTGTGCCGCACGGCTGTAGATGGTAAAGAATCTTTCACCCTGTTAGTCCCCATCTCCTGGAGAGTCTCTTCAGTCCCAGCCATGTGCTCTCAGGAGACTCTCTTCCCTTTACTCTCACTGCGCCCCTTTCTCTCTGCCTTATTCTTTCTTGAAACTGAAAACGCCCATATTCTTTTTTGTAATTTTCCTTTTCAGAGGAACAGGAAGGTCGCATGGATCTTAGTCATCCTGTCCATGCTGATAATTGTCTCTTGGATCCTGAGGGGCAAGAGTGCTGGAGAGAACCACCTGCCTACGTGTACAGGGACTACAGGTAAGAGAAGAAGGGGACCTGCATTAGATCATGTGGAGATCAGAACATCTCCCCAGCCCCATCAGAGGATGAGCTCAGTTTATAGAAACCAGGTGGTGGGTTGTTGGCTCAAAGCCAGCCAGGACTATAGCATCAGGCAGAAGGCTGCATCAGTGGCTTCAGAATGAGGTGTGAAACACCTTCCCTAGTCCATTTCCCTTCTGATATAGATGCTATCCTGGTATAGTCAGATTGTAAAGTTACCAGGCTCTGTCATGTAACTGCTTAGATCTCTGTTCCTCCTGTGAGAAAGCTGTCCTGTCACCTCACTCCTCCCTGGGTAGCGGGCTTCTCTGACTTCTACTTAAATGTATGTTAAAATATCTTCCTGGGATCTATGCCACTGAGCTATTTCCAGGAGTATTCCTGTCTTCTTGCAGAGTGAATTGTGATTGACCAACCAACTCACAAGGGCTGAGCTCTTCCAGTGTCCTTTTGAAAGAGGTCCCTGTGCTCCAGACTTGCTGGATTTCTTCTGTGTATTTGTGCTATGGTCATTAATGAAACTATTGAACAGGATTGGGCCCAGGGGTTCAAGAGTCCCAGTGATCCTCCTGCAGGTGAACAGTACTCCTTTTGGTGCCAGCACTAGTCACTGTGTGCTGTTCACGTGCTCTTCTTCACCTTCTCTGTGTTAATTAATAATTTCTCTAGTGGCACCATTCTGAGTACTTTTACCAGAGTCCAAACTGCTGAGATCGAGCATGTTGTCTTTCCCTGGGAAATCAACTGTTTTGTCAAAGATTGTGTGGCTAGCCCAACCTGCTTTTAGTACCCCCATGTTACATTTTAAGACCGTTTTCCATTTACCTGTTGTCCTTCAATTATCCTTCTCCTCAGAAATGGAGTCTACAGCCCTGCAGACTACTGAGATCAGGCTAACAGGCCTGTTTGTGCTTCAACCATTATCACTACCCTCCTGCTCCTTCGTGCATGTGAGAGCTATCCTTGCTTTTCTCCAGTCATGTTACCACTCTGACTTCACAGTCTTACTAAAACCCTATGGCAGAAGAGCTATAACTTCCTGGGTTTCAGGGTTGGTAATCCTCTCACTGTCGTTATGTCCTTAACGTTTTGTTTCAGCAGCCACAGTGTTGATTTCTATTTCTTTCTCCCAGTCCCGTTAATGAGCTCTCTTGTTCCTCTGATGTTTTCTATCAGCTTAATTGAAGACCAGGAAGAACTCAAGTAGTTTGTGGTCCATTCTTTTACCTAGTTGACTGTGGTCTCACATGCACTGTGCAGTAGCCTCACTACTTCTCTTTTTGTCTAACATTAGCAAAGAAACGTCTTGCTTTTTCTTTTCTGCATGCACTAAGCCTCTTTTTGACCATTCTTATGTTACCCTGAAATTCCTTGACTATTAAGACATGGCTTTCTTTGCTGATCAGTCTCCTCTTCCAGGTTTTGGATTACGTCCAATCTTAATACATAACATCATGCCAGGTCAGAACCAAGGTCTGTCTAGCCCAGGGCATTGTCGCAACAGTACTACACGTGCATGCTGCAGAGGATTTAAAAAAAACAAAACAGGACAAACATGTGGAGCTAACTCCCTGGCATACTCTCCTAGCCTTCTGTGGCTTGCAGCTCAGGGACTCCCCTGAGTTAGGCACTGCTGTATTTAACACCCCCAAATGGATTCTCCTGATAACTGGTCTACTCACTTTTTGAACCTGTGGTATCATTCACGTTCCACAGCCTCCTGCGACAAGGAGTGTGGGGAAGCACCTGGGAGGAATGAGCTTCACTGTCCATATGTCCTCTTTCCTTTTGTCCACAGTGGCATTCTCTACCTCAATGATGACTTCCAAGGTGGGGGCCTTTTCTTCACTGAAATGGACACCGTGACTGTCACAGTAAGTCTGGGACCGGCCAAAAGAAGAAGGGAGGACTGAGGATGAGACTTAGTCTGGGCGGGAGGACACTAGTTGGTTATTGGATCCCACCACTCCAAAAACAACTCAGTGCTGGTGCTGTGGCAGATTCAAATAGGGACAGCTAAAGGCAAATTGAGGCAAATCTCAGACAGAGGAGAGGTTAACTCCTTTCTAGCTGAGATGTTCCAGGCTCTTGCAGTCTGTGGGTGTCTGTGACGTCAGTTGTCCCCTTGATTCTCTGTCCCTCCCCAAGGTCTGTCTTGCTCATAGACTGGCAGTGGATGCTTAGTGGCTCTCCGCTGTTCCATGTTCCCAGAGGCAACGTTACCTCTGTACAATGACCGTGTACCCCAGAGCAGGGGGCTGCTGGCTTCATTGTCTTCTCTCTCATGGCAGGCCGAGGTTCATCCTAAGTGTGGGAGGCTGGTAGCCTTCAGCTCTGGCAAGGAGAATCCCCACGGCGTGTGGGCAGTGAGCCGCGGGAGGCGCTGCGCCATTGCTCTCTGGTACACGCACTCCCAGGAGCATGCTGAGCAGGTAAAGGACCATGCTGGAGAAATGGATAGGAGTACCTCCAAGCTAGATCAAATGCCTCTGAGGAATGGCTTGTGGGCTTTCCCGTGGGGCAGGGCCTAGTGCAGCAGCTGGGGGTTGTTCTCTGACAAGGTAGCTGGTGGAGGGGCCAGCCTGTGATGGGTCCCGCAAGAGAGAATGGGCTCTGGGAGGGTTGGGTGGATGTGGCAAAGACGAGATGTGTCTTGTCAGCCCCTGTGAGCAGGATGAAGACCCTAGCAGGGAGGGGTTCACATCATCTCTGTCTCCACGGCTGCAGGAGCGAGTGAAGGCAGAGGAGCTGATGGAGCAGAAGGCTGTGGAGCAGGACCAGCCTGATGGAGAAGACCATCAGGGGGCTGATCACAGTGGCAGATCCTCCTCAGAGCTTCCTGTTCCCAGCGGCGGAGCCAGGCCCACGAGCCGGAGACACAAGCATGGCTCAGACAGGACACAGCACCCCAAGGAGCTGCGGGCCAGAGATGAGTTCTGAGTATGCAGGGCCCTGGGGGCAGGACTGGCACACGCCATGGCCTGGCAGGTCTCGGTAGCACCGGGACCACAGAGGCCTGGAGCAGTGTATTAGCATGCTAGAGCCGTAGTGATGGGGAGGGATGCAGCTTTCTTCTCTCTGACATCCCAGTAGCTGAAAAATGGGAGCAGGGACAGAGTATTAAAGTCAGTGACACCAGGAACTTTCTTCACTGCCTCACCAACGTATTTGTGTCACTCAGAAGTACGGAGGCAGGGTCTCCTCAGCCCAATCCTCTCAGTGCCAGCTTCTTGGTCATCCAGGGCCAAATCTGAGAGGGGGAGGAGGAGCCTGGGATCTTTTAGCAAGGGCTGTCTCACATTCAGAAACTCAGAACAGAAGCGTCTGAATTTCCTAGGCACCTGCAAAGCTCCAGAAAATCACAGTTGGTTTGAGAGAGGGAAGGTGAGGGACTGTGAATATATGGAATAAAAACAAAATGCTGGACACAGATGTTGGTGGGAGCTTGAGTCTGTACACCAGGAGGGAGACACGCACGCTCATTGCTGATGGAAATTTAATTAACAAATGATGGAAGGAGATTGAGCCCTCAGTGAAAGAAAACATAGAAAGTATTTGCCCAGATGCCAGTTACTTCCGATAAGGGGGAGCAAGAGAGAAAGTCAGCTCTGCCATGACTAATCCCTGGACAGGGTGGGGAGTGCCTTTAAGAAAAAGTACTGTACGCTCACGTTTCCCTGCAGCAAGACCTCTTTTCCTTTTTTTTTTCCTCTCCTTGCACCAAATTGCCCCTGAAGGCAGAAGAGATATTTTGTTTATCATTTTCCATCCTGATACAAAGACAATCTGCTGTCACTGCCCAGGGGATTAGTGTCCCGAGGTGAGATTATATTGTAGGAATTGAATGGGGTGGATATGGAGTATCAAAAAGAGCAGTGACCCTTTTCCTGGGAAGCATTAGAGCCAGAGATCAATCTGTGGTCATGACATACACAGGCCTTGATGGGAGTTGTGCATGGAGACCCCAACTACAGTTCAGATGGAAGAAATCTGTAGGGCCAGGGCCAAGAGGTGGGTGGGTGATCCCCTCGTCGCTGTTGGCACAGGGCCTCTGCTCCATGGAAAGGGAAGTCTTTCCTCAATCTGAATCCTGGCACTTCCTTAATGTGCAAGTTTGGGAAACCTGCATCAGCAACCCTTTTTGCCTCCCGTCCTCCCCAGGATCGCAGGAAAAAGACAATTCGATGCGTGCATTTCAAGTTCCCTCTCCCTGGCAGGAGGTCCATCACATCCTAGCACTCACACATTCATCCCGGTGATTTATGTGGGGGCACTGGATGGTTCCTGCTTGATGAGGACGTGTTGGGGGGTGAGGGGCCAGTGTCCACATCTTTGGCTTGCTTTGCCCAAAGGTGGCTTGGGTGATTAGACTGATGGCCTCCTGACGTCAGATGAGATCCGTTAAAAGGTATTTATCTCGGGCTTGGGCCAAAGCCGCAGGAGAGATTAAAAGAGATTGAGGCCAAGATAATCCCCTCGCAGCATCCTACTAAAGTGGCTGCCAAAAGGCACACCACCGAATCTTTTGTCGCCCCTTGGCCCCTCTGCCCAGTTTTGTCTTCCCCATGCAGAGCCCAGTTTGCTGCCCAGAGAGGGTGTGACCCCAGCCCTCTGGTTTTGCCTTGGCAGGGCTGCCATGTGTGGCACCATCCCTCTTCCCACCCTGCCCAGGATACAAGTGGCACACTGTCCCTGGGAAAACGGGAATCCCTGTATACTGTGAGGTGCAGCGAGCCCTGCCCCGGTGGCTGATAATCCTAGCCTGTTCTGGCTAATCTTCACTTTATTAGTTTGTTGCTGATATAAACAGAGGGAGTCAAACCTGCCTGTGATGGTTTCTTTCCCTTCAGGAGCAGCATGCTACTCTCTCTTTTCACCCCTCCCCGTCCACCTGCTTTGCATTACATCCCAATCCGATTTCCACAAGTCTCTGGTGTCTGATTTAATTTGCCTGACGCTGCTCCTGGAATCAGCCCTCCCCCAACCCCTCCCGTCCACAGCCTTCCAGCTCCGCATGGGGAGATCAGTCCTGGGAGAGGCTGAGGAGCAGAGAGGGAGCAAGGGACTCGCTGGGTGGACAGGCAAGACTGACTGGAGACCGGACAGGGACAAGGGGCTTCTGGCCGGCGGGGAGCCATTCTCAGCAGGGGAGGCAGGTCGTGAAGGTCCCATCCAGGGGGGACTGCAACCCACCTTGCTCTACAGATCCCGGTAAGGATGCTGCCTTGTTGTGATGCCTGAGGTCACCTTGGTGAGCCTGGCACTTGGGACCCTGAGTTTCTTGGTGTGAAGCTGTGGGGAATTTTTGTAGATGGGCTGATCCCATCTGAGGATGTGGGAGGGAAGATCATGGTGGGGAAGGAGTTGGGGTTAGCACTGAGATGTCTTTACAATGATGAGGGGCTTTCCACTGGGATGGGGTTGCTTGTTCTCCCCTTGGCAGGTAAATCTCACCAGTTTCCAGACTGGAACAGCAGGGTAACGCCTCCCCTGAGGGACCTGGCACTCGCTACCTGTACACAGTCCTGCACTCCCGGTGCACCCCTGTGCACACCTCTTTGCAGCTGGCTGCTTTTCTGGATGGAGAAGCGAGGAGCAGAGCAGGGTAATTCTACCCTGGCCTTTGATCTCTATCACAGGAGAGGGGGATCATCTCTGTATCCGGCGCTGCAAAAAGCCCAGGGTCACCAGAGCATGCGAGGCCAGCCAGGGATTACACAGAGACCCAGGGATGCTGCCTATTAACACTCAGACATCCCTCCTGCACCTTTCCTTTTCTATTCACAGCCCTCTCCCAGCATCCCACAGAAGGACCACTCCCTCCCCAGTGTGGAGAAAGCTACCCAGAGAATAGGAAATAAGGAAATTCACCTCTCCTTTCTTCCCACCCGTCACTTGTGCCCTGATCCCCACAAGGGAGTGATGCAGGTGGCTCGGTAGGAGAGACCCTGGGGTGCAGGCTGGGCTCCTGCCATGGCATGGTGCAAGGGACATAGCCACTGCTCTGAAAAGTCATGGTGTGGCAGCAAAAGGCAGAAGGTGGATGGTTCCAGACCCCCCTCAGCCTCATGCCACAGTAGAGGCATTTGGTCTGCTACGAGCAGACACCCAAGGGCTCAGGATGGGTCTGGTTGCCCACAAATAGGAGTGCTACAGCAGGTGCCTCCAGCAAGTTTGTCAGAAAAGGCAGGAAGGGAAAGAACGGTCATGTTGGAGAGCAGAAGAAATGAAACATGGTTTCAAAAGCCAAGAACTGTGAACTGGATAAGCCCAGCCAAGGCAGAGCTCAGAAGAGGGCTGGTGTGAACCGACTAAGCCCAGGCTCTGTTTGGCTGTGCCATGCTCCTCAGTGATGCTTGTAGGAGGCACAAGTCTGGACCAGTGCTGATGCCAGGGTCCTCCTGTCAGTAGCTCTTTGCAATGATGGGGTTGTGGTGGTGAATTCCTTTTTCAAAGATACCTAGGGACTTAGTTTCCTCTACTGCTTAGCATCCACCTGAAAGAGCCCTTACTTTCAGAAAGTACTGAGTGTGCACCATTCAGAAGCCTTTCCCATTAAAATCAGGCTGGGCAGCTACCATGAGCAACCATGAGCTGATCCTTGAATCCACAAGAAATCTGCATCCCTAAGGTCCCGCTGGTCACGGCAGGAACATGCCAGACTCCATTCCCCTTTCCCCTGTTTCCTGTCCTAAATTTACATGCCCATGTGCTCTTTTGCACACCTGCCATGGGCCTCTGCTCTCTGCTGGGGACCAGGTAACACACTCCCCACAAACTGCACTGGGATGTGACGGGTGGAGGTGACAGGCGAAGCTGGAGCTATTATTATTGCTCATCTGTGGCTCCTTGTCCTTCTGAGGCTGAGAACAATTCCCAACTTCATTTAGAGTGTTCTCTGAAGGGGATTTAAAGGTTTGAACACAGTCCTGAACCTGAGCTGCACCTTCTCTATATTTAGCCCTTTTTATCCGTCCTCGACGTCGTGCCCCTGCCCTTTGATCTGCCTGCCAGCTCCAAAAGCCCCTCATCTGGTTGTGCAACTTCACAGAGCAGGCGCCTGTGAACTGGCTCTCCAGTGCTAGTGCCAGCATTGAGAAAGAAACACCCGGGGAAGGGAAGGCGATGGTAAAAAAGCAGGAGAGATGCAAGGAAGACTGGGGACCCGATGGGTGGTGGGGAGGACATGTGCAGCCAGCTTCACCTGGGGCAGAAATTGGAAGGAAGAGAAAACAAGGCTCCCACCTCCATGCAGGTCTGGGTGGGCAAAAGCAGAAGTCCGCAAAGACAGATTAGGGCAAGTGGATGGGTGATGATCTCAGATGGCCAACAGTCTGTGAAATGACAGCATGGAGAGCAGAAAGCCAGTGCTGTTCCAGCTGGGAGAAGCTCTAGGAAGGGATTGCTGTGGAGAAGCCAGGTCTTGGGGACCAAGCAGAGGAGACTGGAAGGAGAGAGTAGAGAGGGAAGAGGTGGCCCAGCAGGAAAAGGCAATCCAACGCTTATGGTTGATGGAGGGGACAAGATCACTCCTGGGAAAAACCGAGAAAGGGGAAGGTGTGGACCACAATGGTAGGGCTGGAAGGGTGGCTGGAAGTTCAGGTTTGCCACTCGATGTGCTGGGACGCAGCGACCAGAGCTGGATGCAGTCTCTGCAGCTTGACTGTACACCAAAGCTGAGGGGCAAACACCACAAGATAAGGAGGATGTGCAGCCTACTGAAAGCTGCAAGGCCTTCCTCAGCATCTCCCCAGTCTGTCAGTTAGCTGAGAGACGGCGTGGGGTGCCCAGCCCCTCCCCAAAGGAGAAGTGCATTCAGGTGGGTTTCCATGGCCAGCATCACTCAACCAGGTGCAGCTGTGTGTCCTTGCTGGGAGGAATCCCCTCATCACTGTTCTGTCAAAACAAGAAAAAAACGAACCAGTGGAAAGAGCCCAGCTCACATGCCGGTCCGTCCCCATCCTTCGCCGTAGCTGAGGCTGGCAGCCCCAGGCCACTGCTGTGGCACCTGCCTCCAGGCCCTGACACTGCAGCCCTGGGCCCCTCTCCTGCTCCCTCACCGTGTGCTGGGGCCAGCAGACAGGCCAGCAGCCACGTCCAGTGCATGGGCAGCAGTGCTGTGGCTCTGTTCAGGCTTGCAGGCAGCAGGTATGAGT